TTTTAATGTTAACGAAATACTGAAATCGGTTTAATATATGGAAAAACCTCCCTGATTTGTTACCCTTTTCCTTTTGTTTTTGCTGTCAAGGGGAGGGAAGAGGGACACTGACGGTTACTCTGCAGGCTACAGAGTAGCTGAGAGCTCATACAAATGTATTCCGAGGAGAGAAAAGTGTTTTGTTTTATATTTACCTGGTCTATCAGTCAGTGATGCTGCCTTTTATACCTAATTTGATGAACATGCTAATTTCTACCTTTTTAAATCTAAGTGGCTACTTAAATTTATTTATTCAGGCAGTCTACTGTAGCTACTGTGACCTCTGCGTCTGAGTTGAATTTGTTAGCCAGTGATTGCTTGCCTCAGATGTAGTATTGAAAGGGAAGCGCTGCCACACAGACACTGGGCACATGCATGTTTCTGAAGAGGAGAAGTGTTCATAGTCACGTTAAGGATAGCTATGCTCACTCTCGTCTTTATATCAGAGGCTGTGAGCCCCCCCCCCACCACCACCACCACCTAGCTTCTCACTTTAGGTCTCAATTGAATTCTTCAGAGAAGCCCTAGTTGGCTCAATTACAGACAGTGGGACACTATCCTGCCGGAAAGCGTGTGGTGTTCACTCTTTTCCTTTAGCGAAGACGTCACTTTCAGACAGAATCATGTTTTTGGTATATTTCTTTCAACAGCTAGTGGAAATCTGAAGAAAAGGGGTTTACCTGAATGTTAGTTAAAGATGTTTTTGCCTATATATAAAACATTGGAGTGCTGTTTGCTGGCGTCGACATAAACATTCCAAATATCAAAATCTTAACAAAATGGCAGAAACTTTTAAAAGAGTGCACCTGTTTCAGCTGTTACTAAATGAGGTCTGATTTAGTGCAGTTTTCATGAAATGCAGCCCCTTTTTAATAGTTGAAATAGAATTTATGTATATATTTATATTTTTTTAAATAAAGGAAGTATAGAACTCACTACATTGCTCCTGCTGGTATGTCAATTACATTGCCATCTGTTTGCTTACCTGTTTATTCCCCCTTGCATTTTCTTTTAAAATCCCTCCTTGTCTTGGTCGATGGACCAAATTTGCTTTTAGTCAGATGCATTTGACATCAACAGGACAACATTAAAGGTAGGGCTTATGACTTGTACCGAAGGAATCTTTTCACAGGGTATGACGCATGTGTGTGTGTCCACACTTTTTATAATGCTCATGGTTTGCTAGGTCTGTTTCTCCCCTTTTCTTAGAAATGCATTCTAGGTAATTGTCACTGATACACAAGATCATGTTTTTTAATTCAACATTCTTCTGCCTTCTGATTATTATTTTTGAGTTTTCATATTTTCTTGACCCTTTTCATGCAACATGCACTATATAATTGAACAGCATGGGGAAAGGATAAGTGTCCACAGATTGTAAGCTCTAGTCAAGACTTTGCTGTGTATATGAAAATGCCCTTTGTATTATATTCAAACAGTCTTATGTATGATATATAAAAAATAACTTAATTGACGCGCTCTTGGCTTTTTTTCTTTATTCCATGGCTTGTTGCTTCACCACATCGAATCTAAACATTTCATTATAAACCTGTTAAAATAGTTGCTGCGGATTATCAAATCAATACACCAAAAAATCAAAAACTCAAAAATAAATTGGCGGATATTAAACTTTTTCAGTCAGTAAGTGGATGTTTAAGTGGCGGGAATTCTGATAAATATTGCGCGGCTCGTTGGTCTAGGGGTATGATTCTCGCTTCGGGTGCGAGAGGTCCCGGGTTCAAATCCCGGACGAGCCCACCTTTTTTTTTTACTTCCGAATATGAATTTGCTTTGACCTCACATGGTTCAAAATAAATGCTACGTGCTCAACTCCGACTGAAATATACGTCGTTTTGCTTACAAAGAACCATTGATCTAAATACAGAGATCAGACTAGTTTGATTCTCCGTCATGGCACTGTGTTCGGTTCTTTCGAACAGTTCATTGGTTCAGATTCAGTGATTCTTTACGTCACGATGTAATTATGAAATCACGCGCTGCATGCCGCTATGACAATGAAGAAAAGTAACACTTTTAAACCTCTGTTAAATAAAATTTGGCTTTTTAGTGGTTATAACTTTTTAAATGAATTAACTGTTAATTAAAAAAATAATGTTAACCTACAATGTTCAATGCTTACTTATTTCTTAACAACAGCACTGTACACAAACAATAAACATTCAAAAATAAAAGTAAAATTAAAGTTATAATTCATACCTCTACCTATAATAAAAGCTTTATTACTCAATTTTACACAGTAAGCTGCCTGCACACAACCCCAAAATTTAAACTTCAAATTTAGTACCACCCGTAATGAACTGTTTCAACAATAAAACACATTTATACAGCATCAAATGCTAATGGAAAACACCAGTGTTTCTTTAATTGTCACTTTAACTCTCTAAGAGTCGAGCACTGTCATATAAATAACATGAATGTCCTAGAAAACACCGGCAGGTAAGTGTTTTAAAGCAATGCTCTCAAACTCAATTCCTGGAGGGCCGCAGCTCTGCATATTAGCTCCAGCCACCTCCAACTCACACCTGCTTGACAGTCTCTAGTCTTGAACACCTTGATTATTTGGATCAGCTGTGTTTGATTAGGGTTGGAGCAAAACTGCAGAGCTGCAAGCCTCCAGGAATTGAGTTTGAGGCCTGATTTAAAGAAAATTGTGCATATTTGTGATTACTGCAATCCTTATTATATTAGCGTTACTTAATGATCACTCATCAGTACGATTCCATCTTTCCTATTGTAGATTAAATATTGGATAATGTGGGGTAATCTCAAATCATCTTACTAGTAAGTTGAGGACAGAGATGGCCAAGTTGCCGTCATGTCAATCGCTGCCAAACTAAATGTATCAAACAAGCTTGTGCTGAAAATGTATGTAAGGGAATGAGGGTCTGTTCTTAAGACGCCTAGCCTTTGCTGCCATCTACAGGATTTACAGGTCCTACTACACCAGAGGATCATGCAAGGTCAGAAAGTTGAAGAATTTTCGCTCTGTTTGATTGAAAGGAGAGGCACGGGTACTTTTATTATATCCTCTACATGTCAGGACTATAACCAGCCTGGTGAAACTTTATTAAAAAGTGGACCTTGTTACAGTTATACGCTTCATTTTCTATTAAAATGTGATTTAAATACATTTGAAGTACTATTTTTAGCTGGATTAGCTTGTTGGATAGTCATAACCACACTTTTTCATGTACCAAAATTCCAAAAATATTTTCTAGATAAAAAATAAAGAAATATGAAAAGATACTTATTTTAAAATACAAATTTATCCCATCATCTATTATTAGAGAAAAAAAAATGAATCAGTTTTCAATTAAACACAAGTCTATTGTCATTTAAGGCAGCATGGTTTGCCTCATAGCACGATTGTCTCACAGCAATAAGGTCGCTGGTTCGAGCCCCGGCTGGGTCAGTTGACATTTCTGTGTGGAGTTTGAACGTTTTCCCCGTGTTGGCGTGGGTTTCCTCCAGGTGCTCCTGTTTCTCCTCAAGTCCAAACACATGTGGTATAGGTGAATTAGGTAAGCTAAATTGTTTGCAGTGTATGAGTGTATGGATGTTTCCCAGAGATGGGTTGCAGCTGGAAGGACAAAAATTAGACAAATTCTGGACGTTTGTCAGTGAGGGGTGGGGTGGATTTTCGGAACCACCAGAACCCCCCTGGCTACAGGCCTGCTTCAGGCTGCTTGTATTTGTATTATAAACTTTACATTTTCAACTACCAAGCAGTGGCGCAGTAGGTAGTGTTGTTGCCCACAGCAAGAAGGTCGCTGGTTCGACTCTCTACTTAGTTGGTGTTTCTTGTGTGTTTCTGTGTTGTTGTCCCTTTAATCCAGGGTCACCACAGCGGAATGAACCGCCAACTTATTCAGCATGTTTTATGCAGCGGATGCCCTTCCAGCTGCAACCCATCACTGGGAAACACTCACACACTCTCATTCACACACATACACTTTGGACAATTTTAGCTTACCCAATCCACCTGTACTGCATGTCTTTGAACTTGTGGGGGAAACCGCACCCAGAGGAAACCCACGTGAACACAAGGAGAACATGCTAACTCCCCACATGCCAACTGACCCAGCCGAGGCTCAAACCAGCAACCGTCTTGCTGTGAGGTGTGACGTCGCCAAATAAATAAACATTGAAAATCCAAATAAAACCAGATTAACACCTTCATTAAAAAACATTGTTCACAAAATATCTGCCGAAATTGAAAATGAACTTAAATTATTTAATCAGTCTTGGCGTGGAAATGCAGTGAAAATGAAATGTTAAACCGGCAACTTCTTTTTATTTATCAATTTTACAAGGACATGGTGTTGTCACACAGTGAAAATTAAAATTTAATAATTTCAATTTTCATTTGACAGATATTTTGCGAACAGTTTTATAATTGTTAAGGGCATCCACTGTGTAAAACATATGCTGGATAAGTAGGTGGTTCATTCTGCTGTGGTGGCCCAAGATTAACAGTACTAAGCTACTCAGTACTAAGCTGACAAGAAAATGAATGAATGAATGAATAAAATCGCTGGAATTACCTTCCATACAAAAATAATAACGTTACATTTACAAAATGAAATTCATACTACATGCCCAGCACAACTAAATCTAATTTGTAAAAAAGTAAAAACCATTAATATTTTCACCAAATAAACTGGATTTTCATATTTATAAATCATGTTTTGAATTTACGAATTGGATTTTGTGAATGTGAATTTTGTTGCGGATGTATGACTTTTATTTGACAAAATTTTATTTATGAGACTGATCTGGCTCCACAATTCACTGAAAAGATCCGAATCAAAAGAGCGATTCGTAAATATCAACCGCTTTCAGTATGGCTGATGCATTGTGGGATCTAAGCGACTTGCATTGTGGGTAGACACGCCAACAATGCTAGTGCCTCATAGTTACGCGCCTAGTTCAGTTTTTGCAACGCTGAAATGATTAATTTAGTGTCATCGTAACTAATAGAAACTTAGTCTTCATCAGATCAGACACAATGCCAAATTTTTGTGCCGCTCCGAACTGTACTAGGAAAAGCACCCAATCCGATTTAGCTTTCTTCAGGTTTCCACGGGATCCAGAGAGGTAACTTAACGTTACGACTGTTTTTACAGCTTTATAACACTGTCACTGGCGTTCAGTAGCATCATTATATCTAATTAATTATTCATGAGGACTTATTCATGATCATATTCTTCATATCAAAACGCTTTGTATTGATGTCGATTGGGGGTGCTATTTTCATAGATGTTCGAGATGTTTACCCTATTAAGTTGTGCATGATCGTGCGTGTTTGGTTACGTAGTAAAATAAAGTAAATATTGTCAGTTTTGGTTTTCCCACTTGAAAAATGCTGTATTGTTTATAGTAAAGTATCTAAATCATAATCAAATTACACAATTTGTACAACTTAAATTCTACCACAATACAACACAATTTACTGTAGTAAATACTAAATGTAGGTATAAGATTCTGACGGCATGATAACCTTCACAGTATTGGGATTAACGTTACTGCTTTAAAAAGATATTTTTAAATGTGTGCAAAAAAAAAAACCTTTCCCACACTGAACCCAATGTTTTTCATTTTAGAAAACGTGCATAATGTTGGAACTGTACACATGTCAGTCTTATTAACTAAAATAAATCATTGACTTTTGCTTTCTTCGTTAGTTTCAAAAACAGATTTCCTCACAACCTGAAAAGACATTGTGTATCTTTTTTTCTCTGAATGTACATTAAACCACCGCACTGTTCAGGTCTATAGCATGTTGGGATGTTGCTGTATAAGTGATTTGTTTTTCAGATGTTTCCTGAATCATTGGCTGACTCTTGATGTGGAGTGGACTTTTATGCTGGATATACTGTTGCCCTAAAAAGCCTGCATAAAGTAGTAGTAAAAAATGTTAAAAAGGAATAATAATAATAGAAAATGTTGTGGTTTTAAAATCTAAACTGTTCTAAACTGCGGTAAACTTTGAAACTGGTTATCGTCCATGAGTACACTGTAAAACTCAACAGTGAACTTTCTCAAATGAAATGAGTGTAGTTAACTCAAAATTTACTGAAAGATAATTCTACTCATTTGAAAAGAGTTTTAAACTCCGTATTGAAGGCAATGAGTTAATTAAATACCACATTACTTTAACTAAAAATGGAGTAAGTTCACAGTACTCGTAGAGATCAGTTTTTAACACAAATGGTTTGTAGCGATCGATTTTCTCAAACAGTTTGAGTTGCCTTAACTTATTGGGTTTTACAGTACACAGTTGGTTTAAGTTCTCCATTTACTGGGTTTTACTGTGCTTAAATTGCTTCTTTTACTCAAATGGAGCAAGTTACAGTAACTCATTAGGATTCGTTTTTTTAACTTAAATGGTTTGTTGCAATCAGTTTCCTCGAATGGTTTGAGTTACCTTAACTTTTTGGGTTTTACAGTGTAGTAAAATCTAAACTATACTACAGTATTTCTGTGTTTACTATAGTTCTGATAAAACAAACTTATTATAATTATATAGTTTTAATAATATGGAATGCTGCTGTATCCATAATTAACAAAGAGTTTTAAAAGCACTACACTATGAATTTTAAGTTACTATAGTATTCTTTTCACATGGAGTTAGGGCTGCATGTTCCTGGAAAAATGTAACATTGCAATATTTTTTATTCTGCTATATTGTGCATCTGAAAAGTATTCATAGTATCCATTCACTTTATTCCACATTTTTTTATTTCGGCCTTATTCCAAAATGGATTAAATTCATTAATTTCCTCAAAATTCTACACACAACACCCCTAATGACAATGTGAAATTTTTTTTTTTTTAAATTGTTGCAAATTTATTAAAAATAAAAAAGCTGAAAAATCACATGTACATAAGTATTCACAGCCTTTGCTCAATAATTTGTTGATGCACATTACAATTACAACCTCAAGTCTTCTTAAATATATGTTGCCACAAGCTTGGCACACCTGTCTTTGGGAATTTTTGCCCATTCCTCTTTTCAGTACCTCTCAAGCTCTATTAGGTTGGATGGGAAGTGCTGGTGTACAGCCATTTTCAGATCTCTCCAGAGATGTTTAGGTCTTTAGGTCTGGGAGAGGATTTAGATCTGGGCTCTGGCTGGGCCACTCAAGGACCGAGTTGTTGTAAAGCCACACCATTGATATTTTGGCAGTGTGCTTTGTGTCATAGTTCTGCTGGCAGATGAACCGTCGCCCTGTATTGTAACATTAAGAAAAACATGGAAAAAGTGAAGCACTATAAATACTTTCCGGATGCTCTGCATATTGTGATGTGAATACGATTTCACTAGATGTATTGAATAACTGTTTGGAACGAAATTATAATTTTAGATTTACTGGGATAATTCTGTGAAGGAGTTCATTAAATACAATGAAAAATCTACAAGCATAGATGAATTCCTTATAGAAAAAGGTACTAATTAAATAAACAGCAATTTATTGTTTTCCAGAGGAGTCGATCTGTATTCAGGTATGCAGTAGATGAATAATCAAATGTAAAATTATACTGCATAGTCTTTGTTTAATAAACAATTCAATCAAATTAATTGTCATTAAATTAAAAATGATACAATTTAAAGTCTTCACGCAGTCACAGGCCTCAAAAAAGGCTTGTGAAATTATAATCCAGACTCAACATTGCTTATACACGCGATGTGACTATTGCGAATGATCACATTGTGATATCGATGCTGAAACGATATGTTGTGCAGCCCTGTATGGACTACATTTTTCTAATGACTTGAAAAAGTTTAAACGCTTTGTCAAATTAACCAGTAAATTGTAACGTTACATGTGTAATTTATTTTTTAAATGTTTTCTTCTCTAAACCTATGAATAAGTGTTACAAGAGACTAGTCATTGTTTATTTCATAAACCTTTGTGCTTTGTTTTACTTCACAGATGTAGGCTGTGGGTGGAGAACTGTCGGCGTGCAGATCTGGAGGAGAAAACCCCTGATCAACTGAACAAGCACTACCGACTGTGTGCTAAACACTTTGAACCAGCCATGATTTGCAAAACTGTAATGCAAAATACTTCATCATTGTAGTTTGTCTTTAAGATATTTAGTAATAAAGCAGGAATCTGTTTATTTTTAATCATATTATTTTCTTATTGTCTGAGTCTTTGATTTGTTGTTTTAAATGTACACGGATCAGTTAAGTGTTTTTGTTTCGGTGTTTTTCAGAGTCCATATAGGACAGTACTAAGAGACACTGCTATACCCACAATTTTTGATTTAACCAGTCATCTAGGCAACCCCCACAGCAGACATCGCAAACGCATCAAAGTTTTGGTAGGAGAAGTTTCTTTTTCATGTCCTTTGTGTGACATATTTATATTCTGTAGAGTTTACCACCTAATAACTTGTTATTTTTGAGGTGTAAAATTGAAAACCTGCCCAGTATTTCTTATGTTTCTTGTATAATTGTTGTTGATAAGTAATAGAACAGAAAACATCTGACATAAAGTGATGCTTCATTCTTGCTTTCCTCAGACAGATGAAGAGGTACAGAAAATCAAGGAAAGGCGATGTAAGTATATATATTTGATTTTGGACTAATAATACTTTTAAAAATCACACTACAGGCCATGAATCATGAATATTTATAATAACACATATCACACATTGAGTTGTATGATTCTGGAATTCGGTACTAATCGATACTGAAATTTAAAAACCTCCATTTAAAACATTTGAGCGCTGTGGAGCATGTTCTTAAAATCTGCTGATTTGCCATTGGGTTCACATGCTCAACAGAAATGACTGGCCGTAAATGTCATCAGTTCAGTTCACCAAACTAGAGGTCTGCAACTAGAGGACCCGACCAGCTTTCTTGCGGCGTGGCATGAATAAAATGCAGTAGTGGTAGAGAGCTCTTGTGTAAGTTAAACGGGAGCCGGGGGTCTGACTATATGTCTGAGAAAGAGAGCGAGAGCATCCTCCGTAGTGCTGTGTATGTGTCTGTGTCTGTGTGTGTGTGTGTGTGTGTGTGTGTGTGTGTGTGAAGGAGAGAGAATGAGGGAGAGCACTACTGGTGTGCACCACTGCCCTTTTTGCAATGTCTTGTTTGTAAGCAGCAACGCTGCACTGCTTTGTCAATACGAATGTACAGTTATTGGTCATGCCAATAAAACACCTAAATGTGAATGTGACAGCACATTCGTGGCGACGCAGTGGCGCAGTGGGTAGCACGGTCGCTGGTTCGATCCTCTGCTCAGTTGGCGTTTCTGTGCATGTTCTCCCTGCGTTCGCGTGGGTTTCCTCCGGGTACTCTGGTTTCCCCCACAGTCCAAATACATGTGGTACAGGTGAATTGGGTAGGCTAAATTGTCCGTAGTGTATAAGTGTGTGTATGTGCATGTTTCCCAGAGATGGATTGCGGCTGAAAGGGCATAAAAAACTAAAAACTTGCTGGATAAGTTGGTGCTTCATTCCGCTGTGGAAACCCCGGATTAATAAAGGGACTAAGCCGACAAGAAAATAAATGAATGAATGACAGCACGCCCGCCATGGTGCTGTGTGTGTGTGTGTGTGTGTGTGTGTGTGTGTGTGTGTGTGTGTGTGTGTGTGTGTGTGTGTGTGTGTGTGTGTGTGTGTGTGTGTGTGTGTGTGTGTGTGTGTGTGTGTGTGTGTGTGTGTGTGTGTGTGTGTGTGTGTGTGTGTGTGTGTGTGTGTGTGTGTGTGTGTGTGTGTGTGTGTGTGTGTGTGTGTGTGTGTGCGCGCGCGCGCGCGCGTGTGTGTGTGTGTGTGTGTGTGTGTGTGAATGAGAGAAAACAAGCGCAACCACCATGCTCTGTGTGTGTGTGTGTGTGTTGCTTGTAATAGGCTAACTGAACTCTGTAACATCTATACAGTTTATAACATCTATAACATCTATATATGGGTGTTTTTGGGAGTCCTATTTAATCACTATACAATCTTCTGTGGCCCAATATGCACCTGCTACATGTATAGAAATAATGCTGATGTGAAATATGAAACTCAATCAGTAGTTGACAAATATATTGAGTGGATATGTTTGCATATCTGACTTTGAAAGAGCCTCACCAGCCACAAACGTCACCACATGTCACGTGGCACTCATGTCTCATCACAGAGGGGCAAACAAAACTGACATTTAGCTTACAATCCTTGCACAGGCTACACTTTTATCTGTTATCTCTCTCTCTCTTTCTTTCGGTAGTGTTCAATTTTTACGTGAGATTTTGAAAACCAGATCTAAATTTAGTGGGAATGGTTGGGTAGAAAATGGGGCGGGTGAACAAAGACTGAATATGCGGCTGGAGCAGTCTGGTGCGTTATAAAACCTGGCGGGAACGGGATTAAAATTTCAGTCCTGAAGCTGTTTGGACAGACATGTGTAGGTATAGTGTATAGACCGTCATATTGGGGTGATACAAACACACCCAGTCCTTTTTTTTTTCAATTTACCAACATAAAAACAGTTTGCAAACATGTTTATTTTTCATTGCGTCTACCTTAAACTTCAGCTGTTTTTTCTTGCGCACACAGAAGCTCCCTGTGATCCTAACTAGGTGCAGCTGGAAAGTGCGAGATTTCTGTCAGGGTACACACAATGACGCTTCCAGTCGGCAGCTGTCCATGGCGCCCAGCCACGATTCGGGAAACCTCCTATTTCAGTCGTGCCACAGAGCACCATCTGAATAGTTTCATATTAAATAACATCCGAATGTGCGTGTCTGGTGTTCCGTGTCGTGGCTCTGAGCGATGCATCTGGTGCCTCAGTCAAAGTTAATTCAGTGTGCGTGGTTATTAGTCTCAGTGTACAAGCTCGGAACTTTAAACTAGCAGTTGGCTGTAAAACTATACGAAGACAAATGCTTTTGCACTCTCTGCTTGGTCTATGTCCAAGTCATACATGCTGAATGCTGGTCCTCTCACTCATGTTGCTCACTCTCTGTCTTCCTGTCTTTTGCCAAACACAGAGCGGGTGCGCTCTTGGCCCTTGTTACATTGGACGGGAAGTCGAAACTTATTTTCATGTAAAGCAACACGCCCCTAAAACAGCGCCCTGTGTACATGCCCCCAAAATAACACTTCTGAACACATTATAATAAAAAAATCTGAACTGTGTTTTGAACTGAACCTAAACTGGCACACTCAGAAGAACCATAATAATAAATCTTAAAAAAGGGGTAAACTATGTGACCTTTATTAATGCCTGGTGTAAAGCAAGGCCTTTTTGAGGATGTAATATTGACCAGCTGATATGGATGCATTAGTAATGTAATTTTGACATACTGATTTTCATAATCAGAAGCTAAAAACGATATGTTGGCTGATAAATACAGATCTTAAAACACATTTTCTGAGCCTGATAGCAATTACAAAATGCAAAGAAATCGTTACCAATAACATTAAAAATAAACATTTATTTAGCAAAGTCACCACCAGGCAACTGTACATTACCATCTGATTTAAAATGTACTAAAAAAAGCTTTGTCTCCATCTTTTTAGTGGAGTCTTCAATTGAACAACTCTCGAAAAAAGACAGTGATGCTCAGGATGACAGCGAGACCACCGATGATGTACCTCGGCTCACGCCAGAGCAGAAAGACCTAAGAGAGTTCTTAAAGTCTTCATTTGAAGTCATGATTTTGATAGGAAGGCAAAGCTTTCCATTCAGCAGCAATGCAAGAGAAGATGAAATGCGCTCTAGAGAGGAATGGCTGTTTAATCCAGGTAACTTTCAAGCATTGCTTGAGAACCGCATCAATGCAGGCGATGAGTTTCTCAGGAGGAGATTTGAGTCAGCGGCCGTTAATGAGGAATATTGTCCAGCCGTCCAGCAGAGACAGCTTCTGGATGTTTGTGAGAAATGCGTCCGTGAAGAGATCCTTCAGCAGGTCAGGGAATGCCGCTTTTTTTCGATTGTCACCGGTGAGTTGGTGGACTTCCCAGAGGGAGAGCATCTACCTATATTCCTGCGCTTCGTAGACCAAGACAACACTCTCCGGGAAGAGTTCATCGAGTTCCTCTCATTCGAAGGAGAGGAGGTCACTGTTGCTGAGAGATTAGAGTCTCGCTTGATGAAGGGTTGGGGCTTGAGTATGGAGCACTGCCGAGGACAAGCCTACGCAGGATCTGGTATACTTGGCACCAAGATGAAGGTCATCACTGCCCAGCTAAAAGAAAAATATCCCATGGCGGTGATCACACCTACTTCCACCTGTGCTCTTAATGTTCATCTTGCTAACGGCATGTCGTTGACCGGAGTGCAAGTCGTGATGTCAGTTTTAAAGAAGTCAAATGCTTTTTTCAGAGCATCCCCTTTGCTACAGACTGAACTTGACAATGCCATCTCCATCCTCTGCCAGGGAAACCTAGAAAAAGAAAGCATCCTCAAAGAGGGCTCTCGATCAACCTGGACAGATCTTCATAACCTGTTTGAGATGGCTGTGGATTTGTTGGAGCCACTTCTGCTCTGCATGGACAGCATACATGATAATGAGGATCTAAAATGGAGTGACCAAGTCACCAGTGACGCTTACGCCATTTCCGAGGCCTTGGCGGACTTTGAGTTTATTGTGACGTTGGTTATTTTAAAGAACGCATTGTCTTTTACCAGAGCGTTTGGGAAGAACTTGCAAGGAGAAACCATTGATGTGTTTTTCGCCGCCAACAGTTTAACTGCAGTCCTGCATTCGCTGCATGAGGTATCAGACAATCTGGAGGTATACCATGAATTCTGGTTCGAAGAGGCTGTCAATATGGCGACTGCAATGGAAGTCCCGGTGAGAGTGCCAAGGTTGTTTCTTCGGAAGCAACAAACGCCGGACACTATAGAAATACAGGCAGAGTCGTTCTTTAAAGAGTACCTCACACAGCCAGTTATGGAGTACATCACGCAGGAGGTCAAGGACATCTTCTCTGAAAATCATCTCAAAGCGCTCAAGTGCCTGTCTCTCGTTCCTGCTGTCATGGGCCAAATGAGGTTCAATACCTCTGAGGAGAGCCACGCGGACATTTACAGGACCGATCTACCCCATCCTGACACGCTGCCTGCTGAACTGCATTGTTGGAGGATAAAATGGAAACACAGAGGCAAGGAAGTTAGCTTGCCGTCCACCATTTACGAAACCCTTCAACACTCCGATGTGAAGTTCTTCCCAAATGTTAATGCGTTTTTGAAAATATTAGCCACATTACCTGTGCTGAAGCTTGATGGGAGTCACGGTGAAACTGCACAAAGACGCTTACAAGCTTACCTTACAGACACTGCGGTCAGCCAGCGGTGTAAAAATCTGGCGGTGCTAAATATCAATTACCATATAAAGACAGATCTTGAAGAAATGGTCCAGTGTTATTTAAAACGTTACCCAGAGGAAAGCAAGACTGATTAACAGCTAAGAGATATAGGCTTCCCAAGTGCTGAAAACCCTTCAACTGGAAATGTATTATGCATTGGAATTGTATAATGCAAAGTATTTTGTTTTCATCCTTACCTCCCCTGCTCCAAAAAATAAAATACTATTTTTACATTTGTTAAAACCTAAAAAAATTGATTTACCATGCAAGTGGGCTGATAAATGAAAAATTTGACTTGAGGAATCAATTATTGAAGACAGTTTTATGAGTTTGTGTTTGTATAAACTGCTCTGTTGTGTAAATAAAGTAAAAGAACTTTTGATGCTTCAAAACAAGGATTCTAGAAGGTCTTCTACACTGTAAAAAGACTGTTATTTTACTTTTTTTCTAGCAGCTGGGGTACTAGCAGAAAAATGTACCATAAAAAAGCAGGTAAATTACAGACATTTATCGTAAAAACAGAAGTAAAATTACAGAGATTTACTGTAAAGAAACAGCCGTTAAATTGCAGAAATGTACCGTAAAACCACCCGTTAAATTACAGAAATTTTCCATAAAGTAACAGATGTTAAATCTCAGAAATTTACTGGAAATTAAAATTTAAGGAAATTTCTGTAATTTAACGCAGATTTTTTTCAAATGTCTGAAACTTTTAGGATTTTTTTCATTCAACCCAGCTGCTGGGAAAAAAAGTAAAATAACTGATTTTTTTTACAGTGTGGAAAGATTTTTTTTTTTCAGATTTTAAATGTCTTTGTTCAGCATCATAGTCATGGATTGTATTACAGGGTTCTTACAGGTGCTGAAAATCCTTGAAAATGACTTGAAAATTTGACTTTTCTTATGTTTTGAAGGCTTAAAAAATGCTTAGATTTTGGATAAACTGCTTAAAAATGTTATTGTGTTGCTTTCCTAACAAAGCGTCTTATGAGTAGGGCCAGACAGAATCTGCTGACATTTTTTGCTATTCTGAGAATTTTGTAAAAAAAAATCTGCAGGTTTTTTATTTGAATGATTTTAGGAGTATCATAATTAAAAACGTAATATAAACATGTTAATAAAAACAAAGCATATGAACATTTCATTATTATTACATAATATTAGTGAAATTTATTTAAAACTATATAAATTTACATTTATTTACACAACTAAATATTGTGCACAACAGTATACACAACAATGATTGGCTAAAAATCTGCAGATTTCTGCATATACGCAGGCTCCTTGTGTGCCTAATAATGGGTACTAATAATTTAGCTTAAGTTAACAAAATCTTAATAAAGAGAACAAATGAAAGTAATTTAATGTTGGGTTAGTCCAAACATACTGCCAAACATTTTCCTTTGAGTTCTATATTATAATATAGAAAACTATAACAACTAGCATCTGATTGAATGTGAAGAAGTATGTAAATCTGTAATTCACCACACTTTTTAACTCCTTTTTTTATTGAACATTTAAAAAAAAAAATTCATGTTTATTTTGAACCACCCAACATAAAAGTAAATTAAAAACAGTAATACTGCATTAATAGGTACAAAATCAGGATTGAAATATATACAGTGTCTCTCTCATTTAATCTAAATGGTACATTTTTCTAACTGGCACCAGTATGCCATACTAAATAATATCCAGTAGATAGACCCTCCAGGATAGATCAGCCTGAGGAGATGGATCCAGCCACATTTTCTGGATTTATTTTTTAGCAGCAGCAGCAGCAGTCAGAACAACTGACAGAATCCTTCTTTGGTTGATAGATTAGGAGAGTGATGATGAGTAATAAATGCAATTGGATCTGAGTTTCTATTAGATCTGGTAGTAGGTTGCATACCTTGGACCAGAATTATAAAATTTGAGGACATTCCCAGAACATATGTGTATAAGTATCTTGTGAGTTGCTACGTAAGTGACAAAGAGGGTCTGATTTTCTTTACATTTTTGAATAACGGGGTAGCATATGCCTTAAAAATCAGTTAATGAATCATTTGGTGAGCTGGTTTTTTTTTTTTAAGTTACAAAAGAGTTCTCCCAGACAGTATCCCAATCAATAATTGTATTGAGTTCTTTCTCCCAGAAGCCCTTAATTGGAATATTTAAATATTGCCATACTATAAATGATTTATAAATTATATTTACAAAACCTCTAGTATCCAAAGTGGAATCTATCAAGTCTATCATTGGATGAGGGAATAACCAAGGTACTTTATATGGTTTCAGCACAGACCTCAATATTAAATATAAGAAAAAGGAGAATCCTGGGAGAGAGAATTCCTCTTTCAAAATATGAAATGATTTAAGTTTGTCATCATTGTATTCTTTAACACAAAGATATTGTTTTTTACCCAGCATTTGTATATAATTGGTTTTGTAATTTACCACACTTGTAAAGTGCTGTAAAAGTTTGGTAATACACCTGGAAAGTTCTTTTAAAGAGTTCTTAAATTCCACATTGGAAAAGGTGTAAGAACCCTGATAATAACTCAGGTCACTGTTATTTATATAGCTCTTTTAAAGATTGAGTGAAAGCAGCTTCACGGTAATAAACAATTGGAAATGCAAACACAACTATTGAGACTTCTCAGATTTTGCGGTAAGTTCGCTTCATATTTTTCTTCTGATAAAGTCAGTTTTGTGTTGGTTTAGTTCTAATCAATACCCATGGTCAAAATTTAATTTGGTTTTACTATAAAGCAGTTCTAAAAAAGACAGCAGTGTCATTTAGTCAGTTGTGGTTAATAACTTCTGTTGATTTTGCCAGATGTGATAATGCTCTAAAACAGCTTAAAATGCACGTGAAGCAGAAGTTACTGAGACTTTTATTTCAGTGTGTTATGTACTTCCAACTGAAACTGAATATTGAGTAGGGGGTGGGGCTTCCTTTTTGTGCATAGTTTACTTGCAGCAAACTAATGGTAAGAGGGTCGTGGATAAAAGTATTAAAGATTACCTAGCTATTACGCTATTGCGAGAAACCAAAAAATGTGAAAAGGGTTTATAACAATGTACACTCGCAAAAGAACATTATACATTATAATTTTACCCAGAGTTTAACGGAAGAAAATAATTTAATAATAATTGTTTCTTTTAAATAAATGTTTGTTAATAACTTGTTTCATATAGATATAGCCTCATATAAATTAGCAGCCCTAACAACAGACAGTATCCCCTTAAATCCCATTTATCCTACACTCAAAACATGACATTTTCTGTTTGTTTAAATTACTTATTTAAATTGAGCTGAAAAAAACACAATTCTTGAGTTTTTTGGGGACAACTTAATTGTTTGATGTTCAATCCATTAAAATTTGTAAAAACCAATAAGCTCATTTAATTCCTTCATGTTTCCCCAACACAAATTGGTTGTGGAACCCAGTATATTTACAGTAAACACCACTTTTCATAAAAATGTTTAATATTTGACATTTAATAATAACATTTAGTAAATATACAAAATTCTAAATTAGAAAGTGATGTAAAGCATTATAGTGCATCAATAACATCTGTTACTCTGCATTTTGCTCTTTGCAGTTGTTTCCACACTGATCCTCAAGAGAGCAGCATATGTAAGTTTTCGTTCATCATGCCAGTTTAAAGGAACACTGGTAACACTTTACAGTAATAGAGCATGAATAATGATGTATCAATATGTCAATTAGACATCGCTTTATTATGAATTAATAATGAGTTAAGGCATGAGCTAATCACAACCTTAATTTAATTACAACATGAGTCACAAGAGTTCATGTGTAAAAAACAGCTGCTGTACCTTAATTAATTGTTAGTTCATGTTATTAATTAATGTATTAATTAACACTTAAGTTTAGACTAAATGTAACCAACATAAATTCATGAGCTGTTAACGAATAATTATGTTGTGACTTTACTTGAAGGGGCACTTCACCATTAACTCGTCCTTGACTACTCATGAACTCCCGTGTTTAAACTGATGTTGACGGAACACTTTTCTATTGTTATTCAGTGTAAACGCACTAGACGGACGTGAGTTCATGAGTAGTTAGGAATGGGTTAATGATGATGTGCCCTTCCAAGTAAAGTCATGATATAATTATACATTAACATATAATGAGTTCCTCATGGTTGAATTAAGCATAAACTAATGTGTTAATTAATACATTAATTAACAAACAATCATGTACTAACAAGTTATTAAGGTATAGTCGTTATTCACTCATAAACTCATGTGTCTCATGTTGTAGTTAAAGTTAGTTCATGATTATCACATGCTTTAACTCATCATTATTCATAATAAGGTAATGTTTAGTTTTATGAACACATTATTATTCATGTACTGTTATTGTAAAGTGTTACCAGAACACTCGGCTTCGGTTTTAGAAATTACAAGCCCCTTAATGTTAAATGTTGCATTTAACCATTTTTAATGCATTCAAGCGTAGGCACTTTTAGCTTAGCTTAGCATACATCCTTGAAATGGATTAGACCATTAGCATCTTGCTCAAATTTAAAAAAACAGTTTAGATATTTTTTCAGTTTTTCCATTATTCCATTTACCTCAGCCATACGACAACAACATTCTTTGTTTATTTAATTTTGGGAGACTTGTAAAATGAGCCATGTTCCAAAAAATGTGGACTGTTCATTTAAATAAAAAAGACTTCTACAAAACATTTTTAAGTAGCTGCTGTTGACAAAATAAAAAGCACTCAGTGAGACTTAAATTGTGTCTATGATCATGTGAATTAAAGCAGGTAAATCATTGTAGTATTGCCTTATCATCCCACTGATTTGAGGGAAATGCAAAACTGGAAATTTTAGGATGCTGAACATCAGCCCAAACTATCTGCACGCTACATATTCTCATCCAAATACTCCATTAAAGACATGTAAGGTTTCTGATGTCAGGATTTTTTTTTCCAGTTCTGTTGCTTTTAATTTTGCTTTTGAAATTTCTGCCTGAGATTTTAATTGGGTTGAGGCAATGCTTTCCTATTTGGCCATGCAACATTCAGTAGGAAGCAGATCATAGTGGCATCAGTGGATTGATCTGACCATGCCGGAAAGCCCCACCCTATGAGTTACACAATGTAACACATGCACAGCACACACTGCTTTTATCACACACACCACTAGATGGTCTGTTGGACACATGCAGAACTCAATACAACAAAAGACAGTGGGCGCAGCTTCATTCATTGATTCATTCATGCAGGGTGGGTCCACATTCACCCAAATCTCATACATGCATTCACACAGATGTGGCATTTTAGCTTTCATAAAATATCTTACAAACGGCTTACAAATCAATTTAAGAGGAATCCATTTTGATGGACTAATTAAACATTAGAATATTTTTTCAAATATAATGACTGCAGAAGAAATGCTGGAAAGTTATTGAGTGAAAAAACAGTTTATCATAATAATCATTTGATGACATATTAAAAGATCTTAAGGATCAAAATGCAACCTAATTTCATAATAAAATCATTTTATTTTAAAAATGAAGAGACTACTTGAGACTGTTTCTCAAATGTGAATATGTGTTTCATTCATTATTTTACCCACATTTAAATGTTTTATGCTTAAAAAGTATTTGGCATAATTGAGTGTTTTAAAAAAGAATCTTTTTATCCATTTCTCAGTAAATACATGCATTGTACTTTGGTGCATTTAAACAGATTGATTAAACAGATTTATTTAATAAAATAATATTTTAGTCACTTAACATTTAGAAACTGAAAGATAGTAGAGGTAAATTGAAGCTAAATATTGAAAAAAGAACTTTGCAACTAAATTTTCAAAAAGCATTTTTTCCTTTTTTCATTTTGCCTCTCTTAAAAAAATGTATTTAATATTTTTCTATAACATAAATTTGGGTGTACTAGTATTGGACCTTTATTATAAGTTATTTTGTCTATCTAATGTATATTGACAAATATACTAGAGGAATGTAAACAATAACAGTGGTCCTACTTCTTGTTTTACGTTTATAATTTCTATAGCTTCCGAAATCCAAAAAAAGGTCTAAATATTGATAAATAATGGTATGATAGATGTTTTAATGTGAATATATGATTGAATTGCCTCTTGTTACAGTTATACAATAGTATGATGACAAGCAGGAAATGTTCATGGGCCATGATGGGCAAATGACATGACCACATGGAAATGGTCCATAGCTTCCTAATACAAATGTGAATTTAAAAGATATATTTGTGAATGGTGTACTTATATATGCTGTGCATTGTATTTGAAACACGTCTTCCATTTAATGCGTTCCACATAAATATAAAACACCTTTTGCAAATTTCCTAATATTTTTGTGTAGCTTAGACATTATGGGGAAAGTGGAATGATTTTAAACCATGTCAATACTCATGTATTGTGCACACGATAAATAAGACAGTCAATATTAATAATGCATCACTAATATTGATCAAAAATTGTGGTATTTGGTACTATCAAATACCAGTTGTATTGTGTTTTTAAATGTGTCATTTTGTTATGCTAGGCTACCAAAAAGTTCAACAATTAAACGTTTCCTTAAACGTGATTTCAAATCAACAAGTTCCAGAACCCAGTAGCATGTGTAGGCAGAGATGGAGCAGCAGTGGGTGGATGGGTGTGTGCGTGATGTGATGTGTGTGTGTCAGTGTTGAAATGGTTAAATGAGCGGCGTCTCCACCCGAAGCTGACCAGACGCTGACGGCTGCAGGTGATAGTTCACTCCGCAGACCACCAGAAGCACGAGAGAACCGGGGCGGTGTCTGGTCATACAGCTGCTAATGAAGTCTGCAGGTGTCTTCTTTTTTAACACGGAGATCTTTCGTTTGCATCTGTAACTGACAGAAAACAATCACATCGCCGCTGTCGAGAGAAGTGCGCAAGCGCGTGCGCTGCGAAAACAGGGAATTTCGAGATTCTGGAAGGATTTTTGCATCGCTAGGAGAATTTAAAGAGAGGAACCTTGTCGGCTTGATTGTAAATTCGATCTGAGACGTCCTATTCCTAATTTCGGAATCGTTTCTCTTCAGATTTAAGCTTTCGCCTCGCCGTTATCGATCATGGCATGGCCCTGTATCACCAGGGCTTGCTGCATCAACCGCTTCTGGAGCGAGCTGGACAAAGGTGACATTGCAGTGCCTTTGGTTTTCACCAAATATTCAGATGTGGCCGAGGTGCAACATCTGCACCCCCAGCCCAAACCGGTATTGTCACAGAAGCCGGTGGCCACGGAATCTCATCTTGCTCATAGCGCCCATCAAGAGGCGTCGAGCAGAGCGACTCATGGCGCCGCGGATGCCGCCGCAGCAGCATCTCAAGACGGCTCCGGTGCGTCGGTGATGCGCGAGGATTTCAAAGCCTGGAGCGTCCGTCCAGAGCGCAGCTGCAAACCCAGAAACCAGTATCAGCCATCAAAGACACCCTTCATCAACGAGACCCAGTATCAGAAAGATTACAAACCCTGGCCCATTCCGAAAAAAGGAGATCATCCGTGGATCCCCAAACCCACTGCTGCTGCTGCGCCCTGCAAGGCTGAGAGCAAGTTCTCCAAACACGAGCAGGCCGCTGCTGAGATGGAAACCGGCGTGGAGAAATGTGAGATTGAGGAAAAGCAGCACGAGAAAGAGAGTAAAGAGAGGAGAAAGAAGGTGGAGAAGAAAGAGCCCGTGTCTGAGGCCAGCAAAATGGAGAAGGATGTTGCGGTGGAGGGAAAGAGGAGGTCCGCTGCAGATGCTCTTAACCGGCAGATCAAGCAGGAGGTCACTTCTGGAAGCTCATATAGGTAGGCTAATTATATCATGTTTTATTTCATTTCTACAACTTTCCAATGCTGTAATATATAAGCATTGTCTGTCAATGTCATATAGGCTAATTGTTTTAATTTTAAATAGACTAATGATTTATTTTGACCGTATATGTTACTGCTCTGAACTTACTGTGATTGGCCCATTCCCATATAGCATTTTGTGGCAACTGGACATTTTGGGGTGGTTAATTTTGATTAAACTCCCTGCAGTTTTCTGATAAGGTTAGTTTTGTAGTTGCAAAAAAAGGAACTTACATATTAACAGTCCTAGAATGATATTATTTTCACTAAAACACAAACCATTACCAATACTGTTAGGGGAAAGTTCTGTGTTTTAGCTTGTGGTTTTATTGATTATGTAATTGATGTTTATTGACATTTTTATTGTCATCTTCAACATCTGCCATCAATGCTATTTTTAGCTGATAAAATAAATATTAAGAAGTCTTGATTAAATATAAAAGATGTGCAAGCTTTTTTTAAAATGCATTATTGTATAAGGTATATAAAATGTCTGTGGCCTGTGCGGCACAAGGCATTTTTTATAGAAAAGGTAAAAATATAAAATTAGTTAAAAATGAACAATTTAACTAAAGAATTGAGATAACATTGAAGTAAATAATCAAGCATTTAAGATAAATAAAATAATAATAAAGTGGTAAATAAAAATAAAAGGAAATTGGGATAAAAAATTGCTAAATTTTTATACCACAAAATGTATATTTATTTTACAGCCAAATAAATTAACACATAGTTTGCACCATTTGTTGGTTACCCTTTGGCCTTTGATGTATTAACTTAATCAAATGGTTATTTGCTACTGAGAAGTATATGTTTTGGAGTAGAAGACATATTTAATGTATGCATTATATGTAAGCACAAAATAAATTATAATAATATCATATAATACAGAAAAGTCTTTAAAAAAAATCAACACTGTTGTTTCCTTGCTGTTTGTCTGAGGCTGAAATATGTTGAGTCATTCTTGATTGCTCAGATTATTTTGTGCACACTCACTCTGCATGTACTGTAGGTGTACCACAATAGATGCACTTAATGCATTTGTGCTGATTTCTTTAAGAGGTGTTTTTTTTTTTTTTTGGTTGAGTTAAGTTGCTTAAAGGAAGGAAAACTGTACTGTAAAACCCAACTGTCAACTTTATCAAATGAAATGAGTGTATGTATCTAAATTGACTGAACATTAATTCTACTCATTTGAAAAGAGTTTTGAGCTCAGTGTTGAAGGTAATGAGTTAATTATAAATACAGCATTACTTCAACTTAAATGGAGTAAGTTCACAGTACTCATATACATTAGTTTTTTAAACTTAAATGGCTTGTAGCAATTGGTTTCCTCAAGCAGTTTGAGAGTTGCCTTAACTTATTGGGTTTTACAGTACTCAGTTGGTTTGAGTTCTCTTCTCTTCATTTATTGGGGTTTCCTGTGCTCAAATTGCTTCTTTAAAGCAAATGGATTAAGTGCACAGTAACTCATTAGCATTAGATTTTTAACATAAATGATTTTTTTTTGCCAACAGTTTCCTCAAAGGGTTTGAGTTACCTTAACTTTTTGGGTTTTACAGAGTGGAAATAGAAAATTTTGGAAATAGGCTCATTTTACAACTCCCTTAGGGATAAACAGCTGCACTTTACCATTCTTTAATCCTATCAACTGATCTTCATGTCTGGCAGGAGCATTTTTAGCTTAGCACAAATCATTGAATCGGATTAGACCATTAGCATCTCGCTTTAAAATTTCAAACAAGAGTTTAGATAATTTTTCTATTTAAATCTTGACTATTCTGTAGTTACATGTACTAAGTTACGTGTACTAAGACTGATGGAAAAATAGCTCTTTTCTAGGCAGATATGGCTAGGAGCGGTGACATGGAAGTTTAGTGGTAAGCACTGTTGCCTCATAGCAAGAAGGTCGCTGGTTCGAGTCTCAGCTGAGTCAGTTGACATTTCTTTGTGGAGATTGCATGTTCTCCCCATGTTTATGTGGGTTTCCTCCAGGTGCTCCAGTTTCCCCCACAGTCCAAAGACATGTGCTATAGGTGAATTGAATGAACTAAATTGGCCAGTATGTGCGTGAAGGAGTGTAAATTGATGCTTTCCAGTACTGGGTTGAGCTGTAAGAGTATCTGTTGTGTAAAACATATAATTGTTAAGTTTGTGGTTCATTCCTGCACTGTAAAAACTGCAGGGTACCACACAATTGATTCATGTTGTCTCAACACAAATTGGTTAACTTAACTTACACTTTTAACAAATTTATGTGGATTGAACATAAAAAAATCAAATTGTCTCAATGGAATCTCAAGAACTGTGTTGTTTTAGCTCATTTTAAATAAGCAGTTTGAACAAGCAAAAACTGTTTTTTTGAGTTTATCAAATTACACAGAAAAAATATTCAGAGATGATTCCTTGGATTTTCTAAATTTTTTATGTTAAGCGGCTGTAAACAATTTAATTGGGCTGAATTTAAACAAACAAATTAAGTTGAATTTTATCAAATTTAATTTTGTTTGTTTAAACTAAACACAAATAAATTGTTCGCAACAGTTTTGCAGACAACATTTTTTTCAGTGTGTGCGGCGACCCCTGATGAATAAAGGGACTAATAGAATAAAGCCGAAGGAAAATGAATGAATGAATGGTATGGCTAGGAACTATACTCTAATTCTGGCATACTAGTCTAAGATATTTGCTGCCATTCAATGCCTGCAACAGGCACAAAGATATTATGCAGCTGCAGCATCTGAAAATAGTCTCTAGATGCGTAAATAAAAGGCACTGTGTAGTATTATTGCTCCTGCTGCAGCCATGGTACTGCAGCAGAGTTTCTTGATTATGATCTATGCTTAGCTAAGCTAAAAATGCTCTTACCAGACCTGGAGATTGGCTGATTGGATTTAAAAATGGTAAAATTCAACCGTTTACTTGGGGAAGGTTTACTCTCTTTAAACAGATCAACTTTAGATGTTGTCTAAATAAAGCATTGCCAAATTACAAATCACTTTGTTTCTCTAGGACGGAGTTTAAGGCTTACAGAGACATCAAGCCAGTGAAACCCATTAAAGCAAAATCTCAGTACAAACTCCTAGTGGGGGAAAAGACCAACCTGGAGACAAGTTATAGTGCCACCTTTAAAGGAGAACAGGCCAAACCTCAGACCACAGACAACAAGCTGATGGAACACCGCCGGATACGGAGCCTGTACAGCGAACCGAGCAAAGAGTCCAGCAAGGTATGACTTTTTTTTTGAACGATCATGCAATTTGCTGAGCTACATTGCCCTTTTTATTACCAAATCAATGAAATTAACAACTCCTGATATGGGGTGATCTTCAAGATGTTAACTGCACTGTGAGAGTGAATTCATCTGAAATGGTTTATTTTATGGGGCTCTAACATTTGTCAGATTAATGAAATCTATTCTGAGAAAGAAGAAAAACGCAGGGATATCACTTACTCTAGCTTAAGAAATTGCATCTGGTGTTTTCAGGACTTTCTAAGAACTATTTTAATATTTATTTTTACTCATATATATTTTAAGTTTTAATTTTAGTAATTTTGTGTATGTGTCATTTTATTGTTTACATTTCTTTGTAATATATATATATATATATATAATTTATTTCTTTTACATCAGTTGGTTGCTGTGGAGAGGTAAGCATGAGCAAACACCCAATGAGGGGGGAGAGCATGCTCAGAGCCCGGCGGCTAATCAGCAGGCCAATCAGAAATAATAAATAACACCTGTTTATTCTAGTGATTGAGCCGGAGAGACACCCTTCTTAATGAGAAGACAAGGAGCAGCCGGGAAGAGAGAGAGAACAAACAAACACAAACACAAACACACACACACACACACACACACACACACACACACACACACACACACACACACACACACACACACACACACACACACACACACACACACACACACACACACACACACACACACACACACACACACACACACACACACACACACACAATTGGTAATTTTATTTTGATACTCCAGTTTGCTAGTCTGGCTTGCATTACTTCCATATATTTTTATAATTCTTTCCTTTGGTATAACAGTAGTTTTCTAAATTATTATCTTTAAATAATCTTCGAAAAGAGTGCTTAACATTAAGCAGTGCTTCTCTAGATGTCGTTGATTGAAACTGTAAATTGCGCCACCATTTATATTTCAGTGGATTCTGAGTTATTTTTATTTAATTTATTATTATTTTTTTTTTATGGTTTACTAGCTAAAAAAATCAGTTTCTCTACGTCTTGATCATTATAGATGGGGTCTGAACTGGAAAATTACTTTTAGAATGATGTCTTTATTGTTATTGCAATGCTAATCTCATGGCAATTCTTAACTTTTTGATTTCATTGGTTGATTTGTATGAAATTGGATGATCTCATTTGTACAATTTAGTATGATTTGCTTATCCCCTAGTGATGGTTTAGAGGTGGGGTTGTGCGCCACACCTTCTTATAAAATTCATACATTTTCATACTACAAATTTGTATAAATAAGCCACTAAACTAACAAACCGTAAAATAGTCACTGGCTGGTTATCGTGCTTGGTGTGAACGAGTTCTAATAAAGACTAAACAACTTGTGAGATATGCTTAAAAAAGGAAAATACTTCTCTTATACTCATACAGGATAACTTCAAAAAGAACTAAGCAATGACCTTGAAATGGTAGAAATAGTTTTTTTAATTGGGGTGTAACGGATCACAGTTGATCCGTGGTTTGTCAGGATCACATCCCACAGTTCCGAACACACGTGACCCGCAGATTATTTTTTAATTACTAAATTTGTAACAATCGCAGAGAGATTGCCACTCGCGTTATTCAAATTACATGTTAGAAAGCATATAGGATTTCCTGTAAAATATAATGATGACCGAAGTTTTTTTTTTTTTTGTTATTTAGGATGTGGTGGGTTTCTTAGGTTATTAAAGGTGTTTTCTGTCACTACTTGTTTAGCCTGCATTAATGCACTAAGCTGCACAATTAATCATTAAAAGATCAGGATCTCAACACCCACGCAACATAAAATATAAATGTTTTTTTTGCAGATGTTTATTAATCCTTTGAATCGCTGCATTCAAATATGTATTTAAAAAAGGCAGAAATCAAGAAAGAGATTCAGTCTTTAGTTTACAAACAGTCAAATAACACGTAAGGACTATGATAGAAGCTTATAGTTTAGATAAATTCACTGATGTTTGGGGTAAAGATTAAAATCAAAATCATATGCATTTAACTTGATGCTCAAAGATAACAGTTGTAGGCAGCAATTACATAATTTAACAAATAGGTGGTGACAACCAGCCATAAAAATATACCCCTGAATAATTCTTCAAAAATGTTACATCTAACAATGAAACATGACGTTTAATGAGTGAATAACTAGATAATTTATTGAAAATAATGCAAAAAATGAATATGAGTTGTACAAATGATATTGTTAGATTTGTAGATTTAGTGTTATCTGCAACAGTAGTACTTGCAGTGAATTTTTCACAATACTGAATATTTTACTATTTAGTTTTATTCGGCTGATTATTTTCTCATTTGATTTTTAATAAAATTACAGATTTAAAGTTCTGATTGTTAAAACCAAAAGTTTCTTACAGTGCTTTTTTTTGTAAGAAATGGAAAGCAAATGATATTTGTTTCCTCCCTTTTTTGGCTGATCTGAAAAATGGTCCAATTCCTGACTAAAAACCATAATGTGATCCAAACCGTGAAATTTGTGATCCATTACACCACAAATTTTGATGTCTACTCCACATGAAAGGGACTATCTGAAAACAGTACAGTACATTCTTCAAAACGTTGTCTTCCAAAGAATGAATACACACAGGTTTGAAACAACATAAGGGGCTGAATAAATGATGGAACTTGACATTTTTTGGGTTCAATTACAACCTGAAATGTACAGCAAACATACTGAAAGAAGCAGGTTTGTGTAGTATTGTTGTGCATGTAATGTGTTGATGTAGCCCCTCCCTCTCTCACTCTCATAGGATGGTTCTGACAGTGACAGCAGCTCTGTTCAGTAGTCAGGTGTGTTCAGTGACTCTTTTGAACAGCATGAATCTGGAGTATCTCACCATACAGCTGCACCATCACAGAGACCCCCGATTTTGGGACGATTCTGATGAAATCCTCTCCACTACGAGGATTTGCTGAACACTATATTTTGTTTTGCATGAAACAGTAGTATCCTCACTATCAAGAGGGGCTCTATTCGGCTTCCATAATGCGAATGATTTATGCAACAGTACTGGCTTCAGAAATATGGTGAAGTAGCGGTTGAGTGATGAAAGATACTAATAGGTTTCCACTCCATTAGTATCAAAACTAAGCTCACCTTGATCACTGCGATCATGCTATTATGCAAGGCATGCTAGAATATATGGTAACCTCGCAAAATAGCAGAAATCCACTTTGGTACAGGGATTAGTTGCACATTATTTGTTATAAACTTTTGTGACAATTTTGATAGCTTGCTTTAACATACTTGGCTGTCATGAAAACAAACTAACTGCATCTCTTGTTTTGAGTATGCAGAACCAATCACCTCTTGTTTTGAACACATCATCTGCATTTCGAACATTCAGCAGGGCCTGAAAATCACATCCTAACACATATTTCTGTCATGGCATACTAACTTGGATGCCACGATACTAATTAAACATGAATGACTTTTTCAGAACTGTTTTATTGACATTATTTGACATAGTGTGCACAGAAGGGCTGATGATTAAGGAAATTATGCACTTTTCCTCTTTATTTTTCATTTGTTTTTGAACATAATAGTGCAAAGGTTGTGTGAGTGTTTATTATTACCTTTTTTTTTTTTTGGTAAAAATTACAAACACAAATGTAAAAGAGGTAGTTCACCCAAAAATTCTGTCCTCATTTACTTATCCACTCTTTTCTTTTTAAAAGCTATTTTAGGTTCTTTCTTCTTCTTTCTTTCTTCGTTTCTTTTTCTTGACGTTGATCCCAGTTGTAAGAGCAAAAAATTATAACTTGACTTCTAGTTGATCATTTGGTAAATTGTCAGAAGGTAGATTTTTCTGAGAATCATCTGTTGAACTGCATCCCAATCATCACAAATACTCCAGAAGACCCATTGGAACCCGCATGGACCAAAGATTCAAATCAGTCAAGTTTGGTGAAGGAAAGATCATGGTTACAGCTTACATTTAGTGTGGGGCGTGCAACAGACTGAGGTATCAAGACATTTGTTCTGCCCATTACATTACAAACCACAGGGGAAGGCAAAATCTTCAGCAGGATAGTGCTCCTTCTCATACTTAAGCCTCCGCATTAAAGTTCCTGAAAACAAAGAAGGTCAGAGTGCTCCAGAATTAGCCTGCCCGGTAACCAGATATGAACATTATTGAGCATGTCTGGGGTAAGATGAAGGAGGAGGCATTGAAGTCAAGTTATTATTTGTTGTTCCAATAACTTGAATAGGCAACTTTTGTCAGGTAGTCCACCCATCCATCGATCCCTCCCTCCATCCATTCATCCCTCCCTCCTTCCCTCCATACCTCCATCTATCCATCCATAAACTATTCCTTTAATCAGTTTGTGGTTAGTAAGACTTTTAGTCATTTAGTTGGTCTAAAAGGCAGTAAATAATTCTAGTTTAAAAGAACTGTTTTGTATTTTATATATTTTAGCATTAAGAATGATTTTTCTTTTTTTTTTGCAAAGCTAAACATGTGGCATAATTACACGTTTCTTTAAATCATTAATAACCATAATAATCATCATTAGTGTTGTTATTTTTTTAAACTATGATTTTTTAAGATCATTGGGTGAATGAACAGTTTAATATAAAATGCTGAAATAGGAATATTTCAAAAAATGCACATTTTCTTCAGTGCTACCTTCAATTAACTTAATGCATCCTTGCTGAATAAACAATATATATATATATATATATATATTCTTTTTTTTGTAAAATCACATTTGTTTACATACAATTCTCATTTTTAATGTATTACCTGCCTATTATTCAGGTTTTTAGTACTTATAAAAAACATATTCTGCATTTCCACATATACAGTTGAAGTCAGAATTATTACCCCCTCTGTTTATTTTTTCCCCAATTTCTGTTTAACAAGAGAAGATTTTTAAAATACATTTCTAAACATAATAGTTTTATTGACTCATTTCTAATAACTGATTTATTTTATCTTTGCCATGATGACAGTAAAGAAATGTCTGACTAGATTTTTTTCAAGACACTTCTACACAGCTTAAAGTGACATTTAAAGGATTAACTAGGTTAATTAGGTTAACTAGGCAGGTTAGGGTTATTAGGCAAGTTATTGTATAATGATGGTTTATTCTTTAGACTATTAAAAAATAAAGCTTCAAGGGACTAATAATTTTGACCTTAAAATAGTTTTTAAAAAATTAAAAATTGCTTTTATTCTAGACGAAGTAAAACAAATAAGTTTTTTCCAGTATAAAAAATATTTTCAGACATACTGTGAAAATTGCCTTGTTCTTTTAAACATCATTTTAGGAAATATTTTTAAAAAGAAAAAAAAAATATTAAAGAGGGCTAATAATTCTGACTAGACATTAAACACATGCAGGTCAAATATGTCTGTATATAATAACTTCTATTTGATTGTAATGCAATAACGTGCACCTCATGTAAAGCTGCTTTGAAATAATAATTAATTATATTAACAATAATTATATATATTAACAATAATTAATTATTGTAAAAAGTGCTATATAAATAAACTTCCTAACACCTAAACCTATTAATTAAAGCAGCAATGTAGGAATTTATTAAGGGCAAACGTTGGTAGTTTTGTACCTTTGTACCTTAAAGGTACAAATTGTACCTTAAAACAGTGTTTCCCAACCCTGTTCCTTAAGGCACACCAACAGTACAGATTTTAGATGTCGTCCTTATCTGACCCATTAACTTCAGGTTTTGTAGTCTCTTATATTCTGATGAGTGGATTCTGGTGTGTTTGATTAGGAAGAGGTTCAAAATGTGTTCTCTTGGTGTGCCTTCAGGAACAGGGTTGGGAAACACTGCTTTCAAATAAAGTGACCAAAAAATGTTTAAACACCATATGATAAAAGTCATAATCATCTTTCATCTTTATATATATGTTAAATCCAACAGGAAATAATTAATCATACACAGAACAGACTGAGGTTTGTGTGTGCGTGTGTGTGTGTGTTTGCAGCTTAAAATAATGCACCAAAATCTCTCAATCTGTTTTGTTCTCAATCATAGGTGGAGAGGCATAATTTATCACTTACCAAGCCAAAAAAGACACCAAGCCATAGCAAAACAGTGAAAAAAGCAAAGGAGAAGCCTGTCGCTGGGAGCCAACCTGCCAAGAAGAAAACCTCAGTGAGCAACCAGGAGCCAAAGCCAGAGGGAGGCGTCACCAAGAAGAGCAAAGAAATGATCAACAGACTAGCTGAGGCAAAAGATTAAGTGCACTTTTGTGTTTCTTTTCTGTCTTTTATTTTTGGGCAGAGGGGTTGAGGAGGCTATAATACAGAATAGAGGACTCTCATCCCCTTGTTCATGACCTTAATCTAATGGCCTGACTCTGATGGTGTCTTTACCTATGTATTGTAGTGGATCAAGGCTTGTCTGCTTGATTTGTCTTGACTTGTCTGGTCTATTCTGAATCTATCTTTGCTTTCGCCCCGCGTCTGCTCCCTTTTCCATACACATCAATAGCTTTTCTCTGTGGCAAAGATGATTCACCCATTCCCTAATGCATGCGGCCCCTGAACAAATGGCCTTATTATATGAAATAAGGTTTTTTCTTTCTTCTGCATTGGAAGATAGTTATTGCAGACAAGATCGGTTGTTTTCTTTCGTCAAGCAATCTCATTTAATGTGACTTTGAAGTATATGGATCACTTGAGTTACCATTGTCGCCATGAGACATCTAAAGATAAACAATATATACAGTATATATAAAATTCTGACTACACTGAATATGGCGCATTGTGAACAAAAAACCTTCTTGTTTTGGTTATGACACAAATCTGATGAAAATTATTTGGTGCTTTATCATATCCAGTATTGACCGATGCTTCTGTGGCGCGAACGACAATGGTCACGTTTGGTGTTAGGCCCAAATATAGAGTTTAGTGCAGTGTTTCCAAACTCTTTTCCTGGAAGTACACCAACTTTGCATATTTTGGATGTCTCCCTTATCTCTGATCCATTAATTTCAGGTTTTGGAATATTTTCTTGTTCTGATAAGTTTATTCAGGTGTGTTTGATTAGGGAGAAAATGGGTACTGTTGGTGTGCCTTTAGTAACAGGGTTGGGAAACATGGGTTTAGTGAACATGTGCAATTAAATTCACAGCCTTTAAATTGATATCCCATTTGATATTGTGGGAACATATGTCTAGAAAGATTCAGTCTGTGCATACTCTCTAAATTATGAGCAATAAAAATGTGTTTAGGATCATATAAAGTAGAAAAGCACATATTAAATCCTCTACAAAGGAGCTAATGTTGCTTTTGCTGTCTTCAGTAGTTTGTTGTTGTATTAGCCACACCTCATTAATATACAGTGCTCAGCAAATATGAGTACAGTCCATTTTAAAAAATTATATTTTTATCAATTTCTCAGTGAATATATGTATTTTGGTGCATTTAAACAAAACAGATTTATTAAATAGATACATGTATTTAAATAATATTTTTGTCACCAAACATTTAGAAATTGAAGGATAATACTATTAAATTCAAGCTAAATATTGAAAAAAAAAATAAACCTACAAAATTTCAACTAAACTTTTCAATTTTTCTGCTTTCTTGATTTTTCCTCTTTTTAAAATTTGTATTTAATATTTTTCTCTAACATATTCATTTGGCTGTACTAGTTGTTGGACCATTATCGTAAGTAATTTGGTTAGATAAGCTCCAGTTATTTTGGCTTCAGTACTGACTTATCTAATGTATATGCACAGATATAATATTGTATAGCTTCTTATTAAAGCATATGAATTTAAAAGATAGATTTGTGAGGTATGTACACATATATGCTGAGATATGCTCAAAACATTGTTAGCTTAAAAATATATATTTTGAAAAATATTTGTAATACAAAACAGGGATTTCTTTCATATGATTTCTGTACTTTTGTTTAATGTTTGTCATTAAACATTTCTGAGGTGACTTTATATTTTTCTAAAAACCTATAGTTCTAAAAAGTACAAAGATATTTTAAGAGTACTGTCAGAATTTAGGAAAACGCTGCCATTGGGAGGTTTTAAATGTGCTTCAGAAAATGTTTATTTTTTATTTTTTATAAACAATCATATTAACTTGAACAAAAAATGTGATTTATTTAACCCCTATATTTGGGTTTGCTATTAATTGCCCATATGTGTCATGTGGATGTGAGTTGATGTTTAGCATAATTATCAAATTTTATATACAGAGTAAAGACAAAATTATTAACCCTACCTTAAAACTCCAAATATACTTCCTTCTATATTTAAATACAAAATTTGCTTTGGGGTAATTAATGTGTCAGTGTTCTTTGGATAAGGAATTCTTAAAGAAGAACAACAAACTCATTAGTCCAAGGCACTTGAAAAGTTTAAATGTCATGTTTTTAAAGGCATTTTTAACAAATTTTAGTGCCTTGGACTTATGATTTTGTGATTTCCTATTATGTATTTTGTTCTTCTGGAGAAAGTCTTAATTTTTTTTAGATTGGCAGGAATAAAAGTAGGTTTTACATTTAAAAAATATTGTTAAGATCAGTAAATTTTTTTTTTTTTTTTTGCTTGGCTACAAAACATACTACTGTTGTCTTATGATCTGACCAATTAACCTAACTTATCTAGTTATCTTAATTAACATATAAGCCTTTAAATTTCTTTTTAACGTTAATACTAGTATTTTACATAATATCTAGTTAAAGATTACATAACAGCAACAATAAAAGAAAAGTAATCTCAGCAAACACAATAGAAATGAGGCATAATAAATGAGTCATTAAATCAATTATGTTGATTATATAAAAATGTGTGAAAATAAATCCTATCTCTGTTAAGCAGCCTTTGAAATCTTAAATATTATTTCAGCAGAGGTCTAATCAATTTTTCTTAAGAGTTATTTATTTATTTAATTTCCTTCCTTCTTTCTCTCTCTCTCTCTCTCTCTCTCTCTCTCTCTCTCTCTCTCTCTCTCTCTCTCTCTCTCTCTCTCTCTCTCTCTCTCTCTCTCTCTATATATATATATATATATATATATATATATATATATATATATGTATTTGTTTTATCCATTTATTTATTTATTTTTAATGAAAACAAAAATAGAAAAAAAACTTCACAATACTAATAGAATAATATGAAATAACAGAGAAATAATATGTATCTGTATTGTTAAAATTGTGGAAAAATTGCATTGCTACTACTGCATGCATAATAAAATATTAAAACTGGACTATTCTAAAGACAGCAAAAGTACATATGTGAGGAAGTTAACATCAGTTTTGGGGAAAAAGTAGTATAATACAATCTATGATCACTTTTTAAATGTTTTTAAGGATGTAATGCAAATATTTGTGCTGTTATTTTTTATTGTAATTTGCGTTTTTAACTTTTTTAAAGAATAAGGTATGCTTAAAATTGTAATAAATTACATTCCATCCAACACTGATAAAATATGTCAGCTTCTTTACTTTAAACTATCACAAACCATTGTTATTGCTCATAACCTCTGCAGAACAAAATCACAGACCCTGGTTAGGTTTAATATTGCTAGTGTGCATGTTTCAAGCACCAGTGTTTGTGCACACTATCTGATATACATACAATGTGTATTTGACCACACATGTATGTTATTGTTAGCATATGTGGACATTTTTCACCACACATCTGGATTACAGCGATATTGTATTCGGACACGATAACTGCATGTTTAAAGATCGTTTGACAGTGTTACACCACAAATTAGCAGTTAGACGTCGAATGAGTAAACAAACACACCACGTTTAGCAAACCAACACGATCTTGCTTTACATTTAAGATCAAAATGCGTATTTCACCTCTTTAGACTACAGACTTTTTAAACAAATTGAGGCATGGTCTCTTTTAAAGTGTGATTGTAGTGTAGAGCATTATGCAACATATATTTATGCTTAGCTTGCTCTGCTCACAATAAAGCAACATTCACATGTGACCTCATGCTAATGTAATTACTGAATTCGCTGATGTAAACCTAAAAACTGCCTGCTTTGCTTCCATATCACCCATGATTGATGCAGTGGAGGTTCCTGTGATTGTCAGACAGACTCATTCCTGTCAAAAGCCTCGTTTTCATCCACCTACTTGTATGCGCATTTTAGTGTTCAGTGGTTAGCAATGTCATCTCACAACAAGAAGGTTGCTGGTTCAAGTCCCGGTTGGGCCAGTTGGCATTTCTATGTAGAGTTTGTATGTTCTCCCCGTGCTCGCATGGGGTTTCCTCCGGGTGCTCCGGTTTCCCACAGTGCAAAGACATGCGCATAAGTAAAATAGGTAAACAAAATTGGCCGTAGTTTATGAGTGTGTGTGTAAATAAGAGTGTACGGCTGTTTCCCAGTACTGGGTTGCAGTTGGAAGGGCATCCGCTGTGTAAAACATATGCTGGAATAGTTTTTGGTTCATTCTGCTGTGGTGACCCCTTATAAATTAGTCTAAGTCGAAGGAAAATTAATGAATGAATTCCTTAATGTACATCAAAAATGTATGTATTTTGGCTTTAGTTAGTTGTCAGTCAGTTAGATCTGATTGAATAAACAGACTATAAACTATTGTAATCCCAGACCAACGCAAATGTTGTTTTAATACTACTACAAACGCCTTTAGGGAAAGTCCATCAATAAAAAATGACTATAAATTTACCTCTGAGAGAATTGTCTTAATTGTTACCCTAAACATTAAGTACAACTCACAAAACTAAGATTTTCCAGCAAGCATGTTTTGTGTTTAAAAGAAGTCTAATAGATATCTAATAGAGAGCTTGGCTAAAAAAAAGAAGGCTATATTTTGGCAGTCAGTGAAAATAGATGTTAAGAAAGAACCCAAAACTACACTGTAAGAAAAAAGTTTAGTTATTTGAGTTAACTCAACTTGAATTGAGTCAATTGAAGTAATTGGGTTGAAAGTTAAGTAAACTTAAAAATGTCCTGAAGTTTTTTTGCCTTAAAACTTTACACTGAGTCAACCTTTTTTAACAGTGTAGACTAGTCATCAAATACACAGGAATGAATGATCACATTTGTGAAGTCTGTCTAATCTTTCTGTTTGATGACTAGTTTTTGGGCTATTCCTCAGATATTTACTGACAGCCCAAATTTAGCCTTAGTTTTAGACAAAAGATGTCTACACTCCAAATTTATTTATTTTTTTGCTGCTTGCTCAAATTACATATTAATTATGAGATGAATCAACACAACTCAATAAGTTGAAACAGCAGTTATTTGAGGGATAACTTTGTTGTTTTGAGATTAATCAACCTAATTTTGTAAAAAAAAAAAACAAATAAGTTAACTTAAACGATTTGTGTTGAGAGAACATGAAGGAATTGCTTGGAACCCAGCATTTTTACACCAAGTGTATTTTGTAAAAATGCTCACACAAATCATTCATGTTGTCCCAACTCAAATCTTTTAAGTTAATTGGTTTTAACAAATTTAAGGGGATTGAACATAAAATTAGGGCTGCACCTATATGGATTTTTAGGTGGTGATAGCCCTCATATGTGTTCGTTATAATCAATATGAATATGCTGATTAAACTGAATACAATCTTACATCAACTTCACATAGCAAGCAACACGTCGATAATAACAAATAATCAAATTAGATTACAAACAACCCAATGAGTTGTTTAGCACAGGGGTTCCCAAACTTTTCAGCCCGGGACCCCAAATATAATAAAGTCAGTGACTTGCGACCCCCCCCCCCCTTTTCAAGGTGGTTATACTGTAAATATACAAACGTTGCACACACAACTATAGGCATATATAAACATGAGCATATTGACAACACAAAGCTGCAACAGTCTAATAACTAAATAATGTTTTTTATAGTCATTTCTTGATTTAGTTTAATATTAATATAAAAAAAAAAGGCTTATGGACGATTTTTATTTGTATGTTGTTGTTTCTTTAACGTAACTATTAACTATCTTCTGTGGGTTATGAATAAAATATGGTAATTCTAATTGTTAATAAAATTTATTTGAGTTTTGGAAATCACTAAGCGACCCCTTGTCATTTTCCCTCGACCCCCACTTTGAGAACTACTGATTTAGCACATGTACATCTGTAAATATGTATTATTTTTCCTTAGGCGATTTAAACCAAAATACACAATGACACTCAATCAAACATAACTACAATGATAAGGAATATGGTTACTTACTGAGTTATTAACACGCAGCAATACCACGCGAAGAAAGGACAGACTTTGAAGAAATAAACATTGTGATTAAAGCTTAGTTATAGTACCCTGAACAAGTTCCGGTCTTGCATGCGAGAGGAAGGCAGTTCTGTACAATTACGTAATTTTTCGGCTTAAAAAATATCTGCATA